GAAAGGCTAGCGTTATTTTAGCCCCTACTTTGACCGCTTTGGTATTATATATCGAAATGCGAACGCATTGTAATGAAATGAAGCGTGCGCTTCACAAGACAATTTTTCACGCGTTGTTAACAACTCTCGCTTGTTTTCACTCATATCGCTTGGCATATCTACATACACAATCGTATTATTGTCATGAACATGTCCTTTGCGCTTCCAAAGGACGCAGCTGCAACGAAGCGAAATAAAAGACGTATCGAGTACCAGCAAGACCACACAATTACCTTCAAAGCGGCTTAGCGCGAACATGCCACCACACACAGGTATAAAATTATATACATATATAGTAATGTAGTAATGTAGAAAAAGTCATWAGCTGTTAGAATAAGTGTTTTGAGTAAATACTTGAATGGCAAATGGATGTTACAAACAAATCACATATGTTATGCCTCTACGAATATTGCGAATATAGATAAATGAAAACTGGCAGTATGCGAATTTGCTTTCTGCGCACTTCGTGTCAATATGTGTCCCTGTCTCGTGCCYAGCCAAACATTAATTTTTCTATTAAATAATTGAAACAAAACATATTAGTGTCTATAGACTAAATGCTTTATATATAATATATAGAATATATGGCCACAGTCTTACAATTCTTATGTGCATTGAGTTTCTTACATTCGATCCATAAATATATATTTATATCTAACGTATGTAAGCGTCTGTGATTTGTGGCAGGTTGGCAGTGGAGTGGGTGGCTCTCAAGCACTAATATTAGGTAATACAGCATCAGTGTCGGCTGTCATAAATGCATTAAAATAAATTGACAGCAATGTGCATTAAACTTATGAGCACCCATACACACACACATGACTGATACACATACATAGTACGTAATGCAGAGACAAACACATTTGCACTGCTGCTTCAGTTATCATCCTTTGGCCACTTGTGCAATTTCTGTGTGGATTTGTCCGCAAAAATGGTGGAAATAGAATCATAAAATATTGATGACAAGCGGTTGGTAGTTCGTTTCTGTCTTACATGAGTCTGGCAATAATTGAGTGTAGTTAGCCAGTTATGAGRGATTTCATGACTGAGCAATTAGTTGGCTCTTATGGTATACAAAGTGAATGATKGAATTACTATAGCCACAAAAATTATATTTCCCGAACCAAATATAAGAAAGAGCATCAGCAGGAATTAGTTTATAATAGCTGCAAAAATGTTTATTTGAAAGGAGTAGTAGAATGAAATATTTTACCATAATGCATTTTTTTGGTTTTGTTGTGGCAAAGATCGACCATAAATTGATTAAAATTTAAAATCGCAAAACTGTGACTAGGTAAAATAGCCCCATTTATACAAACCAAGGTAATGACCAGTATTTACTCGCTACTACAGCCACCGCACTTGTTAAATTCGATAAAATATGATGATTTCGATCTTACCTTTTCTTTTAAATAATAATGGAWAGTTTCAAAGTCTAGTTTTTTTGGAATATACCATCCCATTCCAAAACACTACAACGAGAATTCGAAATATGTACTATAAAGGACAATTGTATACCAAAGAGAGAACAATAAGTTACAAGTATTATACATATACAATTATATAATAAGATCGATTGTTTCATTTCTTAACCTCTTCCATGAAGTCGCCGCCTCAAGTCTAACAAGAAAARATTTTCAAAAGCAAAAACAATTACCAAAAATAATACCTTCAAGATACATACGAGTTTWTAACAATGTTAAATCAAAAACAAGTAAGGAAGGGCTAAGTTCGGKTGTCACCGAACATTTTATACTCTCGCATGATAAAGTAATAATCGAGATTTCAGGCGTGGTTGTGAACCGATTTCACCCACATTTGGTACGTGTCATCAGGGTGTTAAGAAAATATTATATACCGAATCTCATTGAAAGTGGTCGAGTACTTCCTGAGATATGGTTTTTGGTCCATAAGTGGGCGACGCCACGCCCATTTTCAATTTTTCAAAAAAGCCTGGATGCGGCTTTCTTCCGTAAAATTTAGTGTTTCTGACGTTTTTTGTTAGTCGGTTAACGCACTTTTAGTGATTTTCAACATAACCTTTGTAAGGGAGGTGGGCGTGGTTATTATCCGATTTCTTCCATTTTTGAACTGTATATGGAAATGCCTAAAAGAAACGACYCTATACAGTTTGGTTGAYATAGCTATAGTAGTTTTCGAGATATGTACAAAAAAGTTAGTAGGGRRCGGGGCCACGCCCACTTTTCCAAMAMAATTACGTCCAAATAYGCCCCTCYCTAATGMGATCYTTTRTGSCAAATTTCATTTTAATATCTTTRTTTATGGCTTAGTTATGACACTTTATAGGTTTTCGGTTTCCGCCATTTTGTGGGCGTGGCAGTGGGTCGATTTTGCCCATCTTCGAACTTAACCTTCTTATGGAGCCAGGAAATACGTGTACCAAGTTTCATCATGATATCTCAATTTTTACTCAAGTTACAGCTTGCACGGACGGACGGACGGACGGACAGACAGACATCCGGATTTCAACTCTACTCGTCACCCTGATCACTTTGGTATATATAACCCTAAATGTGACTCTTTTAGTTTTAGGACTTACAAACAACCRTTATCTGAACAAAACTATAATGCTCTCTTTAGCAACTTTGTTGCGAGAGTATAACAACTCCATATCTGCGGACAACTTAACTCATTTGCGCAGGCTTCCCGTAATATGGTCTGGGAAATTTAAATACATTGTGACAAAAAAAGTAAAAAGAAATTGTTATTAAAGTCCGCTGGTAAATGATATTTTAAGTATGAAACGCATTTCTGCTCGACTCGTCCCGATAAAGCTGATTTTTTTCAAAATTAGAACGATTGTTACCGAATTTAAAACCAGATTTGCCTCGGTGTGATTTTTTCTTGTTCCCCAAAATTAAAATGCCGGTTTCAGTTGATAGAAGAGATAAAACAAAATCAGCTGAAGGAGGCGAAGGAAATTCCAAAAAGTGCCTATGAAAAATGTTTCGAGAACTGGAAAAATCGTTGGCATAAGTGTATTACATCTGATGGGGATTAAATATTTTGCGTTTTATTTACAATTTATCTTTTTTGTCACAATGTGTATTAATTCGATCGAAACACATGAAGAACTTCCACCTTAATTGCCGGAATTTCGCAGTTATTTAGATAAGAATTGTATATGAATTGTTCAATTGGCTGCGCAGGTGAGAGAAATTAAGAAATTTCAGTGAATTATTTTAATGCCTAAACGAATGTTTGCGATTTTAAATGATCTTGTGATTCGTAATTTCGCAATTTTGCAATTTAATGTTTTTGACCGCTTTTGCAATCTTTTATGTGATTTCAAAAAATTTCAAAATTACGATTTTTACTAACGATCTCTAAAATGTAGTAAGAYTAAATTGAGAATAAAATATTTTCTATTTATAAGTCTATGAAAGAATTGTTTAAAATCACGGTAATCCGGCGCGAAAAAGGGTATTTCAAAATCAATTAAGAAATTTAAGTATTTTGAGTGCAAAATTGCTTTAAAAATACATCAGCTCATGTGTTTTTATTTGACTTGATCAGCATTGTAACCACATTGAAGTGAAAATTTAGTAATTTAAAACTACCAAACGCTGAACTGGGAAACAAAAAATTTCTTCTGCAGATCAACAAGAAATAAAAACACTTTTAAGTCGAAGCGATCGTTATGCCTGAAATACATATGAACATATGTAGCTTCGTTTATACTAGTGCCTTTTGTGACAAACATACATATTACGCATAATTGTTTAGAAATGTAATTTTATTTGAAACCAAATTGTTTACTAAGAAACTAGAAGTTTGTATATCATCTTTCCCATCTGTTTCTCTTAATGTTAATAGTTCGCCGCAACGATAAACTAATGAATAATTTTAAATTATTGGAAGCAGTGATGTTTTAAGCATATTTTTGCAATCCTATACATTTGTTCTGGTATACTGGTAGTTAGCTTATAAAAGCGAGAATTTGTCAAATATTAAAATTTTTACACAACACTTCTTAATGGGTTATATGGGCTTACGAGTTTAAAAAATCCAACTTTTTTTATTATTATATTAAGTTCTACAAGACATTTGAAATATTATCTTAAATTTTCAAGTTGATTCGAGTAAKAGTTTCGRAGATAYAGCCTTGAGAATTTGTGCGCTCGAGGCTAGCCAGGCTAAGTGCGACGTCTTTAAACGCGTTTTTCTCGARGCTGTGTTTTTGAACTCGGTTGGSAAGATTTCTCGAGAACTACWCAACCGATATTCAGCCRGTCTTTGAGACAATTCTTAAAGACTTGGRCGAAGAGTTTTTTTTCGATTACAACTATTTGAAAACAAAAAATGTCGCAAAACTTTCACCGAAATGTTCTTTTTTTGTAAAAGTRTTTGCCAAAAATTAAATTTTAATTTTAACATCATCMAAGTTTTAAGATAAGATAGATGATTCTGTAGGAAGTTATCCTGCAAACGCGGGAGCATCTTTTTTCCAAGGGGTCAACGGAAATGGCGTCGCAATGGCCGTGTGAAGTATTTGTTTTTCAAAAATTTCGGATTTTTTTTTAATAGTGTATGCTTGTAACAATAAAAAATTCGAATAAAATATTTCATTTTTATATGATAAAAAGAAAAAAAAAAAACAATTGAAAAAATGCTGTTTTTACCCAAGGAATTCATGTAACCCCCATCATACATCTCAGAATAAAAAACAAAATAGCAGAAATTACTAACAAAATTCATTGAGCCTGTCTATAAAAAATTTTAGGACTGAAATTCCGCTATGTAAATATGTGTTGAACCTTAAAGATTATGACTTTATTATTAGCATCCACTTTTTGCCATTTGAATATTTTACAGCTACCGAGAAGGCACTACAATCTTTCACACAGTAAATGAATGTGTTAATGTATGTGTAAATATTGGAAATAAATATTTTGCACAAGTTCAAAATAGAGTGTAAATAAACAGTGTTCGGTATGCACCGTATTTTATGGCCAGAGTCTCTTTTGTTTCTGCACAATTTTCCTCACAATTACTAGACGCAAATTCACGCGAAGCGAAGCTGCCGGAAGATCAGCAAACAAAACAAATCGAATGCACAATTAACGCGACGCAATCAACAAAGGCGCAGTGCTGCGAGTACGGCAAGTGCAACGGCGCAGGCGATGTTATCGAAAGTATTCCAAAACAAATTCACCGTAGAGACAGAGGGAAGTCGCGGTATGCAAAACAAAGCGAAAGGACAGTGGAAAAGAAAAAAGTGAAGCGARTAGAAGATGCTCTTTAGCAGTTAACCACTTAACGGCGATATTGTTGTTGTAAATTGAAAGTAAAGCGTTCGTTYAATAGCACGATAACTTCACGCGAACAAAAGTGCTTAGCTGCGAAAGCGTCGGCGGCGGTGGCGGCGGTGTTGGCAAGAAAGAACTGTTACTTTTATGTTGAAAATAAGTGATTYGAATGCGCGCGCGCACGATTCCTTTGGGCGATTGCTAGAGTTTTATTTTTCGTAATGGCTTAAAAGCAACTGTTGTGCACGGCCRACACGAATCGACTGACAGGTCCAAAGGAAAAACGAATTCAGATAGCCAAAATGCCTTTGGCCAAACACCAGCGCAGTAAATTGCTTTCATACTTTCCAGGCGCTCACCACCAATCAAAGTGAGAGAGAGTTACGTACATATGTGTGTTTGTGTATGGAAAGTGTGCTTGGGAAATGTGCAAAGCAAGTGAAAGCGCTTGTCAGCGGAATTCTTCGATAAAAGAGCATGAATCAGTCATCAGTACGGTTGTTCGGTTATGTGTGTATTCAAAAGTACCCGGTAGAAAATTTGAAATTAGATTAGTTTACAGAACAATACAACAAAAGTAAAGAGATTCAACGTTTAAATATCTCTCAAAAACGAAAGCAATAAAATTTTTCTTTTGAGAAGCCTAAGATTGACGTTCTAAATTTTAATTCTATGAGAAATATCGGATGAAAGATTTTACATAACAAACTTGGAGTGAAAACAAATTTAAACCAATTCTGAAAAGAAGTCGAGTAAGAAAGATAAATGTTAACTTCGTTTGCACTAAAGCTATAATACCCTTCTTCTTCTTCTTAATTGGCGTAGATACCGTTTACGCGATTATAGCCGAGTTAACAACAGTAGCAATGTGGCCCCAATGGCTCCTTTTCCACCTGGTCTTTTCAACGGAGTGGAGRTCTTCCTCTTCCTTTGCTTCTSCTGCTATATTCKCTGTTGCCAATGCGCAAAGGACTATAAATCTTCCGCAGTACCTTTTTATCGTTACGTCGTCTCATCASATGTTGTCATCATCCATGTCTCTGTAGCATATAGCAGGACGGTAAYAATGAGTGACATATAGAGTTTGGTTTTAGTCGAAAGTAGCACATTTTGGCGTTATTCTGCGTCRGATTTCAAGGCTGATATTGTTGTTGCAGTTAAACACTTCGAAGATAGACAAAATTATCTACWCTTCGAAGGTATGGCTGTCAACAGTGATGTTAGGAGATTAGGAGACATTTTGCCTTGCTCTCGTTCACTACCGGACCGTTCAGTTTATATGACAGCTTTATGCTTTGGTGGTCCGTTATCGGCGGTGGCGATAAATGAGCAAATTGTTTATGAGAAACGAACGTSTGTAACATTTTCGATCGATATCTTAAAAACTAATGGACTACTACTTCGCGTATATGCAAATAGGCTGGCATGGCTAAAGCAACTCAGTTCGGCATTCTGATTATTAACGTATATATCACCGAGGTTCCCTTCTGGGTCTTACAAATCATCTAGCAAACTTAACAAATCCTGTTCATGTTACAAAAATGGTAGATTCGAGACGCTTTTTTTCACAGCTGATTTTAAGTATATCTACACCTAAACGGAGTTGAAAACATTTTAATTTTTGAACAAATGACAAGGAAACCAGAGTCCAACTACAATGGAAGTTCTGAGTGATTTCGGAAAGCATTTAAGTTAGTTCAAAAATTTTCCGTTACACAGATGTATGTGTGTATCATTTAAGTTAGTTCAACAATTTTCCGTTACACAGATGTATGTGTGTATCACTTTGTGTAATAATCGCTTATGAAAGCACTCTCGACAATTTGTGCTTTTCCTGCGCTGAATTGCTCTCCAAAGTTTTCCAACTGCTCGACAAATACTCATTGTGAGCGGCAAAGCAGAGTGTTGGAGACGTTTAGATACCAAGCATTACATACGCTAGGGCTCATTGCGCGCCGCTGGGGTGCCTACTCACCGATGCTCTTTTGAAATATATTTGTCTACGAGTACTTGTGCGTAAACCTGTGTAAGCTGCCAATACGTATACTTACAGCTATGCTGGCTATTAAGACAGCAGGTGAAAACAAATCATCTGTCTGTCGATTTGATTTGCAGCAGAAAATAAAAGTTATGATTTGATTTTCTTCTCGCCGAAAAGTTTTATTGCGCCAGTACTTAGCTCTTTAAAATGTGTGTTTAGTCCTGTGAGGAGGGTTGTGTAGAAATGTGTGTTTTTGCAATTTAATTTCGATATTTGACATTTAGTTTAGCTGTGGCAATCATTTCTATTTCATACAAAATATTGACAACGAGCTGAAGTTTGACATGCTTTCTTTTTCTTTATTTTTGTGTAAAAATCAATTCACCTAAAGCTGAACCTTTTGACAAGCGAAAGATATTTGTTTGGTTTGTCTTCCTAACAGCCTGTAGACAGCTGTATTTTATTATTATTTTATTTTACGCATTGGGTACTGCTACATTGTATAGCTTGAACACACATGTAGCATTGACTGCAGCGACGTCTCGCCTGGATCTTATGATTTTGGCGGCAGTGTAGGCCTGGTGGAGATTGTGGGTAAGGACAATGCTTGTTGTGTTTTTTTCGGTCTTAAGGGTACATTCCGACAGCGGTCGCCTGGCTTCTCTCTCGAATAAGAAAATCAACAAAATAAGCTAGCACAAAGATATCTTGCCATTGGCTAACAACAACTAAAATTGTTTGCAAATCGTGAATAACAAATGCTGAGCTAACAATGTTGTGTATGTCGCTCGCCACATCTGAGCTGAAAATTTGATTTCTATGCGAACGTCAGACAATTAATAAGGTAAATAATACTGTTATTCTTACCTTCGTTCGGCATTTAAACACGCTGTATGTGGCCTTCGCTTCTGCGGCATATTTTATTGTGTTTGCGCTGCTTTAGTGCGATTTATTTTTAATTATCCCTTATTCCTTTATTCGTATTCGTTTTCCATGAAATTTTTGCAGTTATTGTAATGCTACATCCTACATACATGAAGTAGCCTTCTTCGCCCGCCTGTAAACATCAACAAATACAATTTAACGGCATCCCTTACGGATTAACTTTGCTCATCAGGGCAGCCATCATTCGTCATTCTTCATTGACCATTCGACGCGCGACGTCAAGTGTTCAATCGTTAATGTAGCAAATGTACGTAGACAGTTAATGGCAGGCCTAAGGAATGTGATTAAATTCAACAAATGCAAGAGAGATCATACCAACCCACACCAAGTCACGTGGTGTTGGCGGATCGTGACTAGAGCAAATACAATGAAAAAGCGCGGTATTAATCTTCTGACATCTTTGATTAAAATACCTAACTGCCGCCGTTGATGCGGCTCATTGACGTTGTTTAAATTGTTGCACAAGCCCACCCACAAGCTGCCATAAGAATATATCTAGAGAAATGTATGTGTGTGTGAGCACAAATGTTTGTACTCATAAATGTTGGTTGGTTGGTTGTTGACTGCTAATGGTTTCATTTCCTTTTTCAATGTGCTTTGCGTAAAGGAAATATATTGCCAGGCGATTTGTTTCTCAAATTGCTGCTTGATTGCATTAAACTATTTGTTTGTTTAGGCTTGCTTGATGCTTTTGCCCTTTAATGTCATCCGATGTGTAGGTGTTTAAAAGAGCAAAAGTTTACGGAGAAGTAAAAAGAGTTGAAATAAGATGTCTTAATTACATTAAGTGCCCGGTTGAGCATTTGTAAAAATAAGTGAATATTTATAAAAAAATATATTAGCTTTTTTAGCTATATACTATAAAGTGATCAATTCAGTTTTCATGAAATAAAAATTTCTTTATTTATATTTTGATCGGACCGTTTGTATGGTAGCTACATATATCCTATAGTGGTTTGATCTGAAAAATTTGTTTGGAGACGACAGAGTCGCCTTGGATAATAGTCTGTGTTTGCTATCCTAAAGAGGCAACAGTCAAAAACTGAGCACACGGACATGCCTGAATAGACTCAGCTCATCGGACTGATAATTTATATATGTATATATTCTACGTATTTGATATATTTCTAGATTGTGCTTTTAAGTGAATTTATTTTTATTTGAACAGATCTCAGATCTCAGAACATCCAAATCGATATCAAACACGATTTTCTTTTATTAATTTTTTTATTCTAACATATTCCCAAGTGTTTGGTAACACACTTTAATAGATTATAACCCAAGGCAAATATATATGTATATTAATATGAGTGTAGAGTTTAATATTCACAGCAAAGTTTCCCTTTCTAACAATTGAAAACTTTATTCTGAAAAATATCTGATCAAAGATTCACAAGGCACCTTACTATAGACAACGTAATTGATTTTATATAACTTTATTCCTTCGAAAATACCCATTTCAGTTCAACGCCAACCACATTTAAACGTTAAATGCTACAAGGCACCAAATTTCTGCAAATAAAGGTAATAGTGCTGAGTATGTGTTTGTACATATTTGCCTTCGCGCCATCAAACGCTCACTAACATATACAAGTGCTTCTTTAATTGGACTTTTGATAGCCTTTAAAAACTTCGAGAACTTTTATTGCCGGACGCCCTAAGTTTACACAATTTATGGTGCGGTGCTTTGCCCTGCTCAGAAGATATGTTTGTAATTTGAAGTGTTTATCCAAGCAAGTATTAGCAGCGATTGACAGCTGCGCACAGCTTTCTTATCAAAGTCAATTTCTAATTCATAAAGTATGTGCGTATTGTCAACGGCTGACTGCCGCAAATTCATTGCTTATAGAGACTGTAAAAAGCTCCAAGGAATACATAAAATATAATGCGGCTCAGACAAGTGAGAAACGCGGGAAATGGAAAATCGAGGAGAGCGAGAGAAATTTTATTGAGTGAGCACGCTCAATACCRTTCAATGTATAGTTTTCCAGAACTTTGCCTCCAGCTCACAAAAGCTCAACAATTTCACTATGAAAGAGCATATGTAAAAGATACTGATAAGAAAAGCGGCACAAGCTTGTGATAAACTGACACTTTTGTATGTATGTATGTATGTATTTCTGTKTACGTGCGAGTTGCTTGGTAATGACGAATTAAAAGATTACCTATAAAAGGGATTTAGAAATGCTTCTATGTATGCATACGAGAGACCTCTTGCTTGAGTTTTCCATTAACTTAAATAGTAATACAAGCTTTATATACTATATATACATACATATATTATATGTATGCATGAGATGAGACTATTCTAAG